CCCCCCGAATTTCTAATATTTTCGGATTTGAAAGTGAAAATTAATTTTAGCTAATTAGCTACAAGGGTTCTCGGTCATATATTCGTTGATGGTGATTTTGGTAACCATATTATGACAGTAATCCCCATCAAATTCAGATTTGGTTGGACAAGATCTCTGGCTTAGTAGCCAGTTCTTAGATCTTTCAGTACAACTTCAACGGCAGTGAAGGAAGACTGTCTCCAACAATAATTACCAGTGTTGGAAGTAGGGGAGAAAATGAGTCGAACCAAAGTTAAGCCCAAGACTCGTTTGTTAATCGAACAGAGTTCAAGCTTAATGAAACTTGACTCGTAAGGCTCATGAAACTAATCAAGTTTGTATACATGCATATTAATAAATAATTTTTATAATTCTTAAATATTTATATGTAAAATAAAAATAATTTTTTTATATGTATAACTTTTATTTTTAAGAATCTTAGCTTATATTTAAGCTTCAGTCAAGCCGAATTTGAGCTCAAATCGAGTTTGAGCTCAAACCTCATGGATATTTGATGAGCCACGCTCGAATGACATTCGACTTGGCTGGGCTTCATCGCACCCCTAGTTGGAATCTGGAATGGGCCTGAACTTGTGGTGGCTCAGTTAAATTCTCACATTTAAGTCAATTTCTTAAATTTTGTTTTTTGTTTTTTTTTTTTTTTTTTGGGTAAGCCCAAAGCAAATTTCATTCATCATCACAACTTATATGAAGCAAGTCCCACGCAGATTTCTTACTTGTCCACATCCTTCTCAATATCATAGCCCATGAAGCCTCATTTCACTATGTTTGGCATCGATGCTGCATGCTGCTGATGTGTGGGTTGGAAGCACCAACAGTGCCTTCTTTCTATTTGGAAACGTTTGCTAGGTAGGACATTTACTGGAGCAACAACACTTTCTATTTGGTATCAGTGCTCCATATCTGTTTTCAGCACTAGTACCATTATAGGAAGTCCACGTCATTGCCACATCATGTCAT